ATCTCTTTAATTTTCTCGTTTGCCTGCTCCACTTTTTTCTCTGTTTCGTTCAGCTGAAGCTGCTGTGCTACAAAGTTTTTATTCATCACAGTCAATTGCTGGTTAATACCATCGAGTTGTTCCATCACCGGCTTGAGCATATCCGCCAGGAGTTTGAGGACATCTGCTCCCTCTTCCGGTTTCGGACTCTGACTGCCCAGCTTCATTTTAAACTTTCTCTGCTGGGCCGCCATCTTTCCCGTTTTGTTTACAGTTTCTGCCACTTCCTCGCAACTCGGAAAACTTGCCAAACGACTTTGCAATTCAGATAAGTCTCTCAAAACACTTTCAGTTTACTTCCTCCCCTCTCCCCCTTCGTGTCCGTTAGCTGCTCATTCGCATAAGAGGCGTCCCTCTTTGCAATCTCTTTTTTCAACCGCGGGGGGGGGGGGATCACTTTTCAAGCTACTCCATTTTATTCAGAACTCACGTTCATTGTCGGTCAGTTTCTCTGACCACGCTCGGTTTTACGCCATTCCGCTCGATCTCCGGCGCTTGTCCCGGTCAGTCCAGCTTGTGCCCGAAGGCCACTCAGCGACTGGACCGTCGGGGCAAAGGGGAGCCTCAATTCTCTGGCATTACGCCGTCGAAGAGGCTACCCCTCACAAGCCCCCTGGCCTGGAGCCTATCGCAAAGGCTCAGCGGGGGTGTCACTTGAGGTGGCACCCCTCCAGGCCGCTGGTGTGCGATTCGCCCTTCCCCGTTGTGGGGAGAGCGTCCGCCATCGCTGTTCCATAGACCGGAAGTCTACTATATAAATATTCCGTCTTTTGTATCTGAGCTTTGGGTCTCAAGATCTGTGTGAAATAGTCCTCGCAGGTGGGTTCACACCACTGAATGAAGGGAGGAGTTGGCTTTGGCAGGTTATCCCCAGTGTGTCTGGGTGGGAGACACACAGGAAACTTGTTCCCAGAACCATCCCGCCGAGAGGTGTCGTCTCGGAACCTCTTGTCACTGTTACTTCCGAGGAGGAAGGGTGCCGTAGCCTCCCTTTGGGCTCATAAGCAGTCGTCGATCTGTGTGCCCGCGCCAGTGGTTCACGGGTCACGGAGAACCGCGTTTCCCGTTTCCATCCGCCAAACGAGCCACAATTCACTTCCATCCCTGGAATGAGGCCTGCGGCTTTCCCTTTTCTCCAGTGGCCGCTGTTCCAAGGTGGGGCCTGGAGACCTTCCGTTTACACCACCGATTTCAGTCTACAGAGACCAGTTCCCCTGGAGGAAATGGCTGCTTTGGTGGGTGGACTTCATGGCATGGTACCCTGCTGAGGCCCCTCCCCTCCTCAGACCCCTCCCCTCTCTCGGCTCCACCCCCTAATTTTCCAGGGGTTCCCCAACCCAGAGCTAGCGGCCCAGATCCCGCCATGCAGGGGCCTGCCTGGCCCACGTTCCTGGCATGTCGAGGAGCCACTGATTGAGAATCGCCGGTCTACATTTTTTGTCCTTCTCCTTCAAAGAGCTGAGATCTCCCGTCATGTTATCCTCACAACAGCCCAGTGAGGTAGGTTTGGCTGAGAGGTTCACGAAAGAGGGCAGACTGCTCTGTGCCGCACTGGCTTTTGCCAACGGCTGTGCTGTCTGTGCTCTGCCCACATGGTTAACCCCCTACCCCCATCTCTGGTCAGGGCTGGCCCCCTCGTTTTGCCCTCTTCTCCTGGGGATGTTCCCTGGAGGGCAAAGGGGGCCGTCATTGTGTCTTGTCAAAGCTGTGTTTGGGGAATTGGGGGGGGTGTCCCCCCCATGCAGGCTCTCATTACTTTTTTATTTATTACTTTCAACTTACGTTCTGCCCTTCCCCTCTCCCCATCGCTTGGAGGGACCCACTCTGGTGGTTCAGAGTGTCCACGCCCTGGAAAACCCTTCCTCCTTTTACTCACTGGGCGAGTGACGCGCTGGAGCAGCGTTAGCAGAAGATTTAAAGATGAGCCACATTAGCACCCCGTGAAAAGAAAGACTCACCCCGAGGCAGTGAGTTTTCGCACTCCCACGGAAGTTCTAGAGAGGTCTCTGGCCTTGCCCTGTTTCCATGTGAAGCCGCTGAATGTTTAAAAAAAAATGATGTTTCTAGTCCTTTCTCTTGCAGGCAGGTCCCCTTACATATCTTCCGAGAGCAGCCATGTTGGTCTGCAGTGGAACAGCAAGATCAGTGTCGAGTAGCACTGCCAGGGAAAGAGCTTAGAGACTGCATTTTTTAAAATGGAAGCTGAGGAGTGAGAGAAGCTAGTAGAAGATAAAAGGAAGTACTGCTGCATGCAAAAAGTAATTAATCTGTGGAATTCCCTGCCACAGGAAGTGGTGGCAGCTACAAGCATAGACAGATTCAAGAGGGGATTGGCTAAGTATATGAAAAGGTCGATCAGTGGCTATGAGCCACAAAGAATAGATGGAACTCTCAGTCTGGGGCCAGGGATGCTCTGTCTTCTTGGTGCTTGAGGAGGGGCCACAGTGGGAGGGCTTCTGGAGTTCTGGCTCCGCTGGTGGACCTCCCGATGGCACCTGGGTTTTGGCCACCATGTGACGCAGACCATTGGACTGGATGAGCTGTTGGCCTGATCTGACATTGGCTTCTCTTACGTTTTCATGTAAGAAGATTTCTGGTGAGGGGGAGGGAATGAAGCAAGCCGTGGTGATGTGGGTGGGACCAGAGAAAATGCTCACCTTCCCATCCACACAGTGTGCAAAGGGTCTCTGCTTGTGATCTTTTTGGAAAGATTGCATCAACCCAGGCTTCAGAAGGATCAGAGTGAAGCAGGGGGGGGAAACAGGAAATGGCCGATACGGGGGACGTTGTGTGGTTGTTCCAAAAAAAAAACCCCTCTGGCTTGGACACCAGACCGGAGCGCCCCCTCTGTGCGGGTGCCGCCTAACCAGCTTCTCCGGGGTCTCGTTGCAGGCGAGCCATCAGCCTGAGCGGCAGCGGCAGCAGCTACAGTGGATCCAGCTCCCGCTCGAGATCGCTGTCTCGGTCTCTCTCCCACTCTCATTCCCGGTCCTCGTCGGCATCCGTCTCCGCGTCCCCCTCTGGCTCCAGGAAGTCCAGGTGAGGGGCTTGCTTCTTTTCTGCAGGGACTGGAAGGCTAAAAAGGGGGTGGCACCTGTTGGGCAAGGTGAACTCTTTCCAGCACCGAGTCTGCTCCCTGAAGCTTTTGCTGGCAACTTGAACGGGGAAAGTTAAAAGATCAGCATTTTTTACGGAAACCTCTAAGGACGGGCATGTCGGAAGAGTACAGTCGTCCCTCTGCCCCTCGCCAGCATCTGGCCAGATCCTTCCAGCTCATTCACAGAGAGGGCAGGCGGCCATTTCCCGTTAAGTAAACCAAAAAAGGGATCACAGTTACGAGGAAATATTGCAAACAAAGAAAACACTTTGATAAAAATGACAATGGCATTTCATAAATCTTATGAACATCAAATTATATTACAAATGAAACTTTTACAGTATTACTAAGGGAATTCTAACATTCTCAAGGAAAAGGCCATCATCCTCACTGAGCACTGGGTTATACACTCATTTCACCCGTCTTCCTCAGGAGTAATCCTATTATATTGAAATGTGTCAGCCTTTTGATGCGGCTTAACTTCTTTTTAACTTCTTTCCATTCTAAATAACATGGTTATTTAGAATGGAAAGAAAAATGAAGCTGAGTAGAATATTGTTTTGTTACAATTTTTAAAATTTTTGAAATTATTAATAACTTTTAACTTACTTCTGCTTCCATTCCAAGTATTTGAATGAGGAGCAAGCCAGTTAATTTATTTCTAGTAGTAGCAACCAGTCCTCTTTTCAATCCAGCTAGAAGCCTCCTTTTTTTAAATGGGCTGGCCATTGCTCTGGGTGGCTGTCGGCCGCCTCCCATCAGGGTCATCCGCTGGGCTCTCTGGAAACTTTTCCTTCTGTCTGTTGTGGCCAGTGTTCCCTCTAAGCTGAGTTAGTGTGAGCTAGCTCACATTTTTTTAGCCTCCAGCTCACACATTTTTGTCTCGGCTCAGGAAGGAGGGCTCCAGAGCAAACTAGGTTAAGCAGTAGCCAAATCATTTGCTCACAACTTTAATGCCAGTAGCTCACAAAGTAGAATTTTTGCTCACAAGATTCCACAGCTTAGAAGGAACATTGGTTGTGGCATAGCCAAAGCGGTCCTTTACTTTTTAGAACTGTTTTCAGGTATTTATTATTTATTTATTTAAATGTATTCGATTTATCGGCCTCCCCTCCCCTCCCCTCCCGTGGGCTCAGGGTGATCCGCAGCATATCACAATCCATCCATCAGCGGATAAACAACTAAAACCCCAGCAACTATTACAGGGTGGCGCTTAAACCATTTTTCTATCGTTACCCCATAGGGGGGAGGGCAAAAGGAGAAAGAGGGAGAGACGGCACCGCAGAGGGAGGGCCAGGCGTGATGGAGACCCTTGCTGTCCTCAGCCAGAGGCCAGGCAGAACATCTCTCTCTTTCAGGCCCTGCGGGAAGTGTACCAAGTCCCGCAGGGCACGGATGTCATTTGGCAGAGAGTTCCACCAGGCCGGCGCCAAGGCTGAAAAGGCCCTGGCTCTGGTCAAGGACAGCGGGGTATCTTTCAGGCCAGGGATCACCAGGAGGTTATTACTAGCGGCCAACACAGCATCCTGGGCAATGTGGGTCAGGGCCTTTCTTTAATTTCGGTGTATGGAAAAGTCTGGTGTGCCTTAAGCATATTTCCTGGAAGAAGCCAGGGGGTGCGCAGAGGTGGCAAGTGTGCTTATTCTGCTGGGCTGTTTTGTCTAATGCTTCTGAGAATCCCAAACTGCTCCTCATCAGGGATGAACTTGGTGACCTCACGCAAGCGCAGAATGTGCCCAGCGCACCTTTCCTCTCTGCCCAGAAACAATTGCCGCCACCTTGGCTTCCTGTAAAGCAACCGCTCCTGTTCTTAGATCACAATCAAACTGACTTGATTGCCTTCTGAGAAGCTGGCATTGTTGGCAGGTGTTCTGCCGTCTGGACGCTCCGTGACATCACAGCAGGTCAGCCAGTGACGGGGAGCGGCTCGCAGTCAGGCACTCGACGGGCAGAAACTCGTGACTGAAAAGAGTGCCGGCGCCCGCTGAGGTCTGACTCAGCCACTCCTCGTGGGTTTGGTCTCTGCCGCAGGCGCTAATGCTGTTTACACTCCTTTCTCTCCCCCAACCCCATCAGGTCCCTAAGTGTGAGTAGTGTCTCGTCTGTCTCTAGTGCCTCTTCCAGTAGCAGCTCCGTGCGCAGCGCGGACTCGGAAGACATGTACGCAGGCCTGCCCAGCCCAGTGTCTTCGGCCAGCTCCCGATCCCCCACCCCCGCGCAGCAGAAGAAGGAGAGAGGTAGGTGCCTCTTGACCACCGCTTGCAGAGATTTCTCGGGAAGCCGTTGCACGCATGTGTACACCCCGTGGCTGCTGCCAGTGCCCCGATCAACCTTCCCCTTTATGGCTCCCCCCCCCTCCGCTTTTTGGCATGCTTCTTTGCCAAACTAATTTGGAGCATTCTGTGGAGGCAGATGAAAATGTGCAGCCGTGTGTGAAGTTATTGTCAAGCTGGTTAATTTGCACAGCTCACAGAGTGGGAAGCATGTCGGTCATCAGTTGGGCTTCTTCGTTTGTGATCATAGTCCTCAAATGGAGGGGGGGGATTTCAGCCCGAACTCCAGGGTAGAACAGAGGACGGCAGGCTCAGTCCTCGGGGGTGGACGACATCTTGAGTCCTTCCCAGGTACGACACTGCCTGATAATACTCCCTGAATATGAAAGTGTCTGACGATATGAAATAGGATAATACTCAGACAATAGCAGGCAGTTTCTTATTCAGGAAGGACTTAGTCGAGAGAGAATTGCTTTGCTTGATGAAAAACCCCAGTTCATTTCCTGGCGCTTTCTGTTAAAGCAGGCCCGTGAATTGAGCCGTCAACAAGACTTGCAAAGAAGATGCTTTCTGTATGTTGCTTTCTGTATATCTTGTTGACGGCTTGATTGGTGGGTCAGACTCTCACGACTGTTTCCTTTACATTCGTTCTCTGCTTGGGTCGTGACTGTCCACACTTGTCTCTTAAAGCAGGCCCCGTAGCCAGGATTTCTTAAGTTGGGGGGGGGGGCATTTCAATTTCTTAGGGGGCACTGGCTAATTGAATTAAAGGAATACCTGGCTCCTTCCCCACACCTGCCGCTGCTCAGGGGCCCTGGGCTGGATGGGGAGTCGGGGGTGGGCCTTGCCTGTAAGTCGGGGGGCCTAGCCCCAAGATGCCCCACTGTAGCTATGGGCCTGTGTTGAAAGGGTTTTGGGCAGCAGGGCTGGGAAAGGCTCATTCGTGGCTGGACTTGGAACGCATTAACACACACAAAGCTGCCTCCTACTAAACCAGACCCCGGGTCCCTCAAAGTCAGTCTTGTCTACTCTGACCAGCAGTGGCTCTCCAGGGTCTCAGGCAGAGGTCTTTCCCATCACCTCCTATTGCTCCTTTTGAACTGGAGATGCCGCCGGGGATTGAACCCGGGACCTCTTGCATGCCAAGCAAAGGCTCTGCCACTGAGCCACGGCCCCTCCCCTAAATACTACTGTCGTGGTATTTGATTCACAGACCGCCGTCCCCCATACAAGGCTCAGGGCGGTGAACAGCATTTCGATAAAGCATTCAGTTTGGTGTCGTGGTTAAGTGCGCGGACTCTAATCTGGGAGAACCGGGTTTGATTCCCCACTCCTCCACTTGCACCTGGCTGGATGACCTTGGGCAAGCCGTAGTTCTGATAAGAGCTGTCCTTGAAAAAGAGCAGTTTCTGTCAAGAGCTCTCTCAGCCCCGCCTACCTCACAGGGTGTCTGTTGTGGGGAGGGGGAGGGAAAGGAGTTTGTAAGCCACCCTCAGACTCCGAGTGAAGGGCGGGGTATAAATCCCAATCTCTTCCTCTTCTTCTAATCTGGAAGAATTGGGTTTGATTCCCCACTCCTCCTCCACTTGCACCTGGCTGGATGACCTTGGGCAATACATAGTTCTGGCAAGAGCTGTTCTTGAAAAAGAGCCGTTTCTGTCAAGAGCTCTCTCAGCCCCACCTTCCTCCCAGTGTGTCTGTTGTGGGGAGGGGAAGGGAAAGGAGTTTGTAAATCGCTCTGAGACACCTTTGGGTAGTGAAGGGCAGGGTATAAATCCAATCTTCTTCTTCTTTTTCAGCAAAAGCACCTATAATCACGTTAGCCATTAAAACGATAACAGTTCTAGATAATTTCAGATGGTACCAAAAGGCCGACTATATCTTTAACTAGGTGGGGGGGGGGGAAATGGAGGAAGCCAGGGTTGATGGGACAGCGTTGCTCTCCTCAGCCGTAGGCCTGGTGGAGCTTCTGTGTCTTACAGGCTCTGCGGAACTTCATGGCTTGGTGGACTTCGTGGTCACACAGAGCTGCCTTTTTACTGAATCAGGCCATCAAGCTCTACTCATGCTGGCAGCCGCTTTCCCGGGTCTCGGGCCGAAGTCTTTCTCATCTCCTCCTTTCAACTGGAGATGCTGCCGGGGACTAAACCTGGGACCTTCATGCCCAGCAGAGGCTCCGCCCCAGAGCCACTTCTGGTCAGAGGAGACCGTCCTCCCGAGCTAGGAGGTTCTGTGGTCTGAGTCTCTATACGTCTGCTTCAGTGCTGTGCGCCTGAATTTACGTTCGGCAGTAGTGGGAAGCGCCATCAAGTCGTAGCCGACGAGTGGTGACCCCGTAGGGACTTTCGAGGCAAAGAGACATTCGGAGGTAGTTTGCCATTGCCTGGCTCTGTGTGGCAAGTTGGGACTTCTGAGATCGGATGAGATCAGGCTAGCCTCAGCCATCGGGGAAAGGGCTGAGAGACGGAGAGAGGTGGTTTGCCGTTGGCTGCCTCTGCGTAGCAACCCTGGACTTCCTGGGGGGCCTCCCATCCAAGGACTAACCAGGGCCGAACTCGCTCCACTTCCAAGACCAGACAAGATCAGGCTAGCGTGGACCAGCCAGGTCGAGGCTGAAATTATGCTTAGCTTACATCATTTATCCAGAATTTTGGTGCTGCGTTTGTGTGAATTGTTCTTTTCTTAATAACAGTTTGGTGTCGTGGTTAAGTGCGCGGACTCTAATCTGGGAGAACCGGGTTTGATTCCCCACTCCTCCACTTGCACCTGGCTGGATGGCCTTGGGCAAGCCATAGCTCTGAGAAGAGCTGTTCTCTGAAGTTCTCTGAAGTTCTCTGAAATTTCTGTCTCTCAGCCCCACCCACCTCACAGGGTGTCTGTTGTGGGGAGGGGAAGGGAGAGGAGTTTGTAAGCCGCTCTGAGACTCCTTTGGGTAGCGAAGGGCCATGGGGTATAAATCCAGTCTCTTCTTCTCGCACGGGCACTCCTCTGTCCCCCGCCTTGCCGAAGCTGAAAGCGGGGTCTGGGCCAGCTCTTTGCTCATGGAGGCCTGTTCTGTCTGGGTTTCTTTAGCAGGCAAGTCCAAAAAGGAGGGCAGCAGCAACATCAAGGAGGAGAAGAGGAAACGGGACGTGCCCCCGCAGCCGCCCAAGCCAGCCAAGCCCGTGCAAGGGAGTAAATCCCAGCCGCCGCCGCTCCAACCTCAGCAGCCCCCACCACCTCAGCTGCAGCCGGCGGGCTTCAGCGCCCACAAAGAAATCAAGCTCACACTCTTAAACAAGGTGAGGCTCCTTCCTTAAGGCCGTTGCCCTCTCTCTCCCTTCCTCCGGAGCAGAGCGGAAGAATCCTAGGGTGGTCCCTACGCATCTGGAGTGGCCTCCGGTCCCTACGCATCTGGAGTGGCCTCCGCCAGGGGCCGGATGCCAAGAGGCCGGCAGGCTGGCTTCCTGTGGTCCAGGGTCTTGCTTAGAGGAATCGTCCTGCAGCCCCCCCAGGAGCAAAGCAAAGCTGCTGGCTAAGGGGAGAGGCTGATGTTGACTCATTGCGGGCACCGTCCATCAGGAAGTTCGCCTGTGAGGGTCCCATTGGAGTGAACAGGTTATGCCACTTTGGTTTGTGCCGTTTGTTTGTGCAGTTTGTCTCCACAGGGCCCGTGCGGGAGCCCTTCCCAATTCACAAGAGTGTGTTGCGGGGAGGGGTGCCATTTGTATTTTTCACCCTGAACGCACCAGAAGAGCCAAGGGGAGCATGCTTCGGTGCTCAGCATAATTCTCTGCTTCTCAAAATACGACGAGCAGAATGTACAGGTGTTGAGTGCGAATACTTCATGCAACCCCGGGGATTATGGGATCTAGGGTGCAGAAAATCCAGCGACCTTACTGTAAAAATTGGCTTTACTGTTCTGTGTTACAAGCTGCATTTAAGGGCCTTGGGTTAGCCCAAAAGGGAGGGTGCCTGAATTGGGGGAGGGGGTCAAGTTATTATTCTTACTGTGCTCAAGACCCTAGCTAGTTGCTTCTGCTCAGAGTAGACCATGCAGGGCTAAGCGGGCCAAGGATTTGACTTGGCTGGAAGCAGCTTTAATAGACGTTTGTCTGTATTTGCATGGAGCGAGGGAAGGATCAGGGGACGAGTGAGTCTGTTGTTGTGTAGCCGGCTTCGAGTCCAGGAACCCCTGAGAAACCAACAAGATTTTCGGGGTGTAGGCTTTCGAGAGTCAGAGCTCCCTCTGTCAGGTGAGAAGCCACCTTCGACTCTTGAAAGCTCCTACCCTGAAACTTTTGTTCGTCTCTTAGGAGCTGCGGTGGCTCAAGTGGTTAAGATGCTGAACTGCAGGCTGTGGAAGGTCGGTAGTTCAGCAGTTCAGCAGTTCGAGACCCGAGTGTGCCGCAAGACGGAGCGAGCTCCAGTCTCTAGTTCCAGCTCCTGCCAACCTAGCAGTTCGAAAGCGAGAAATTGCAAGTAGATCAATAGGTACCACTTTGGTGGGAAGGTAACAGCATTCCGTGCGCCTTGGCGTTTAGTCATGCCGGCCACATGACCACGGAAATGTCTTCGGACAGCGCTGGCTCTTTGGCTTGGAAACGGAGATGAGCACCGCAACCCTAGAGTCGGATTCGACTGGCTTTCGAGGAAGGGAACCTTTACCTTTAAGGTGCTCCTGGGCATCTTGCACTTCCGCTGTCGGCCAATGTGGCTTCTGTCCCCAAACTAGTTTTGTGTAGCTGTAGATGTACCTACGGAAAGCCCAGCCAATTATTTGTAGCTTGTAGCAATGTAAAAACACTCTGTGAATGAATTACGAACACAAGCAGAGAGATTATATTATACACATCAACTCTAAACAGTTCAAATTCTTATCAAATTCAACAAACACCTTTATATATTCTTAAAGAGCTGGGATCAGAAAGTGCTCGATACAAAGGAAAAACTCTAAATACAGTATGAAAAGCTTCAGGAGAACAAAAGTTCCACGTCTGCAGGAGTAGCAGCTATGCGCGGCTGGCTTCAATGCCGCGTTCGCTTTCCGCTTCTTCAAATAGCTGGTCCTCTTTGGCTGTGAAACTGAAAATATACTTCTATGTCATAACCAGTGTTCCCTCTAAGCTGAGTTAGTGTGAGCTAGCTCACAGTTTTTTAGCCTCCGACTCACACTTAGCTCAGGAAGGAGGGCTCCAGAGCAAACTAATTTATGCAGCAGCCAAATCGTTCACTCACAACTTTAATGCCAGGAGCTCAGAAAGTAGAATTTTTGCTCAGAAGATTCCACAGCTTAGAGGGAACATTGGCCACTATTTACAACATATTTACTGTATCCCGTTGTGGTCGTGCCTGCAGGGCAGGCCCTCCTGGCCTTCTCTGCCAGCGCGTTGCCGGGCTTTTGTGCTGACCGCCTCTGTTCTGTTTTTAGGCAGCTGACAAAGGAGGCAGCCGGAAGAGGTACGAGCCCTCCGACAAAGACAGGCAGGCCTCTCCCCCAGCAAAGCGGATCAACCTGTCTCCGGACAGAGGTGAGGAAGTGGGGCCCCGCCAGCCTCCACGGCAGTGCCTCTCCAGGTGCCAGCCCTCCTGCGAGGCCGACGGACACCAAAAACTTAGAAGGGCTCTGCTCTTTTTGGTGAGATCTTCTGGCTTGGAAGGCCAACAGTATTGCCCTCTGCACATGCTCAGTTCACCTGCAGTCACACAGAGGGACCTTTTTTGAAAAACAACAAGAAAAGAAAAGATTTTGAAACAAGAAGGGAGAAATATTTGGGATGGGGGTTAAGATGTTTCTTTTAAAAAATTACGTTGGTTATATTTGATTCTTTAAAATTGTGTAAGTATCTCTTAAAACGGCACCCTTGAAATTAAGTACGAGCATGTTAGACACACACTTAACAATCTCTTAGAATTGATCCAGTGGGGATGTCTGTCACATACGTTGACCTATCAACTCCTCCTTGTACATGGGAGAAATATCTTGTGGAGGTCCCTACGACGTAATGGGGCATGGACAGTATTTATTATTGTTAAGGGTGTGATCCTGGAGCCGGAAAGTGGCATGCCTTCACAAGCACCGGGATCCAGTGGCCATCTCCAAGAAGTGACGTCTTGTCCTTTGGGCCCACCTGAGTGATTTTGTATTCTCCCGTGTTTTATTACCTGAGGTCTACAGAGTTAACATAAGAACATAAGAGAAGTCAATGTTGGATCAGGCCAATGGCCCATCCAGTCCAACACTCTGTGTCACACAGTGGCCAAAAATACCAGGTGCCCTCAGGAGGTCCAGCAGTGGGGCCAGGACACTAGGAGCCCTCCCACTCTTCCCCCCCCCCCAAGCACCAAGAATACAGAACATCCCTTGCCCCAGACTGAGAGTTCCTATCTATACCTTGTGGCTAATAGCCACTGATGGACCTCTGCTCCATATGTTTATCCAATTCCCTCTTGAAGCTGTCCATGCTTGTAGCCGCCACCACCTCCTGTGGCAGTGAATTCCATGTGTTAATCACTCTTTGGGTGAAGATGGACTTCCTTTTATCTGTTCTAACCCAGCTGCTCAGCAATTTTCTCAAATTAGACTCACTTTCTGTGAGCCAAGATTTCTTTTTAATCTCAGGACAATAAACTGCTTTGCCAGTCCTTGCTTCTAACATGCATAGTGAAGAAACCTATAGGAGTGCGTCATATAGCCCTTTCCTAAAACCAGTAAAACAGCAGGTTATATACCGCATACGTACATGTGTGTGCCTTCCTGGGTAGTCCAAATGCCCCGTTTAGTTCTACACTTGACATATTTTAGTGTTTAGAGGAGCCAACTAGTTTGCATCATTGCTTAGGAAATCTCTGAAGATCCAAGGGGGGAAAGTCAATTTAAAATCATGATTTAAATTCCCACAAATGAGTCCACCCTTCACCTAGAGAGGTAATCCTGAACAGGATCCTTTTTTATTTTCCCTTGTCCTCCATTCAAGTGTCCGGTTCTTAAATCTTTTCGATGGTAAGCCTGCCAGGCATATATCGCCCCTAATTTTTGCACAGCGCCCAGCAAGTTGGCTTTGTAAATAATAAACTGTTTGGGCAGCATCCGGAACAGCGGCCAAGGAGGGGCTTGCTTTGTAGTCTGTGCCACTGCTGCCCGAGTTGGCCCAATCGGTTTCACATTTTCATTTATCGGATTCCAGAATTTTGGTTTCCTTGATGTGGCATTTCTGTTTCAAATAGTCCCGTTGCAGCATCCCGGGGGGGCCACTCCCTGGCTTTCCTGTGTGCCAGGGGGGACTGACTCAGCTGAGCTCTCCTTGAGCGTCAGGCGACCGGCGCTTAACCTGGATTCCTGCAGCATTTGCTGTTAGGCCCGGGCTGAGCATCCCCGAGACTATCTCTGTGCTGTTTTAACTGTTGCCAAGATGATGACTTTCCTCGGAGCATCAGTTAACTGTGCCTCATTCCTGAGGCTGATGCGTCTTCCAAGAAGCTGCGGAGTGCCAATTAGTGCCTGAGTCGTGCTGCTAATGGCTACGGGAGTGCGAGAGATGGAAAATCCCCAGTTCCAATCTCACCTTTGCCCGGAATTCCAGTGGGTGGCCTTCGTCCAGCCGCCCACGGTCTCCCGTCTGCAGGACTGGCCCTGCCTTGCAAGGGTGTCGCAAGGAATTCAGAGCGAATGTGTGCGAAGCTTTACTGGACATGTGACGGTGCCGCTCAGATGAGGTGACCTGTTGTTGTTGTTTTTCCTTCCACTCCGTCCCAGGTCCTCGCGACAGGAAGCCCGGGGGAAGGCTGTCCTCACCCAAACAAGACCGCCAGCGGGGCCCCAATCCCAAGCCCTCCCCTGCTCAGGCCGACAAGTGAGTGTTGCTCCCAGTTCTTGTTGGTTGGTTCCTCCGCCTTGTTTGTTCCTGCCGGCTCTTGGAAGGGACTCCCTGCCTGTGGGCCCACACGCCCCGGCGACGGCCGATAGCGATCTGATTTGGCAGGGAACCTCCTGGCACTGCCCTGCTTGGAAGCAGTGTAGGCTTTCCTGGTTCTGGGGGTGGCTGAATTCCTCCCTCCCCCACGTGCACCAATTATACTCACAGGCGAGGCGGCGGGAGGGTGGAACTTTACACCCTTTCAGTGGACTCGGGTGCCAGACATGAGGATTCACGATTTGCACGGACAGAACTGACCATTGTCTTTTGTCCCCACTGGTCCCGTGTGGCCGTCTTTGAGCAGTGGTGGAGCAGTGGCTCCGAGGCTTCAGACAAGATCTCCCTAGCAGGGGAGGGTCTTTGTGGGGGGTTCTCTCATCCCGCTGCGGCAGAACAGACGTTCTCTTCTTGCGGCTGTGTCCCAGTGGGGGTGGCATTTGGGCCCGATACCATCCCGTGACTCACAGGGCTTGGGGATCGCCCTCAGGCAGTGGTTGCACAACGCCGGTCCCGTCTGAAGGCATGAAGCAACCCCAGAGAGCGTGGGGCAGGCGAGCGAACCCTTCTTGCTTGCCGCCTGGCCTGGGTGTGGTGTCACCAGAGCATCACCTGGAAGGCAGAGGTTTCCTCTGCACAGATGTTGCAGCAGGCAGTCCTTCTGGGGAAGGAAGGAGGGGCAGGATTATTTGTGGAGCTGAGTTACGCACCCGGGCATTCCATCTGCTCTATAGATGTTTCTGCGAAGGGTCCTGTGAAATCGGGAAGCATGCATACCAGCACACTTCCCAGTAGGCCAATTTAATTGATTTAACGCACCCGGTCATTCCATCTGCTCTATAGATGTTTCTGCGAAGGGTCCTGTGAAATCGGGAAGCATGCATACCAGCACACTTCCCAGTAGGCCAATTTAATTGATTTAACGCACCCGGGCATTCCATCTGCTCTATAGATGTTTCTGCGAAGGGTCCTGTGAAATCGGGAAGCATGCATACCAGCACACTTCCCAGTAGGCCAATTTAATTGATTTAACGCACCCGGGCATTCCATCTGCTCTATAGATGTTTCTGCGAAGGGTCCTGTGAAATCGGGAAGCATGCATACTAGCACGCTTCCCAGTAGGCCAGTTTAATTGATTTAATTATCCTCCTGTGAAACAGTCTGCATCAGCCAGGTGAATGCCATGATGAAGTTGCAGCCCTTCATTTCGCTCACGCCCTTGTTCCCGAGGCCTCTGGAGTCGGCTCCTTTCGCTGTTTGCACCCGAGTCCTCCTCTGCAGCTGCCTCTGGCCCTCTGCCCAGCCAAGGAGGGGGCCGGTCACGGAGGCCGTTGCTCACAGCCCAGCATCCCTAACGTCAGAAGCACAAACTGTCCCACAACCGGCTTCCTTTGCTTTTCGTTCTGCAGCAAGCTTTAAAACGGCTTGGGTTGACTGTCGCTTCCCATGCAAAGCCCTCTCCCCAAAGTCTCTGGCTTCTCCAAAGCATCACGGTCTCCGAAGGAGATTTCGTCCGGATCCCCGGACATTTAAACCTTCCTTTTCCAAACTATTGACAATATTGACTGCAATGTCGTTCAGGTTTTTACAGAGCTGAGAGAGTTCAGGCTTCATTCTATTCCACTCGAATGTTTTCTTCACACTGGTTGGGACCAGAGTTTCATTTCTCCCACCTTTTGAAGGAGGATTTGCTCACAGTGGGACGTGTCGAACGGCAGAAGAGAGGGGGCACCTAATTCCTGCCCGTTTTCCCCTCCTGCAGCAGACCACCCACTTTGCCCCAAATTGGGGGGAAGGGGGCCCAGTGGGCCCCAGCAGAAGGGGGAAGTAGCAAAGTCCGTCTCTGCGGGTGGTTGGAAAGAGACCAGTGTGTCTCGAAACTTCCTTGGGGACATCAGCTCGGAATTTCAAAATCGAAAGTCGGGGGGGGGGAATCCTGCTGGGATTACACATCCCTTAGAATAAATGCTGTGCTGTAAATGTTGAATTCCTCACAGCAGCACAAAATTAGGGGAGGGGCATGTTTTACGTGTCAGAAACTTTTAGAGCAGAACTGCTGCCAGTTTGGTGTCGTGGTGAAGTGCGCGGACTCTAATCTGGGAGAACCGGGTTTGATTCCCCACTCCTCCTCCACTTTCACCTGGCTGGATGGCCTTGGGCAAGCCGTCCTTGAAAAAGAGCCGTTTCTGTCAAGAGCTCTCTCAGCCCCACCGACCTCACAGGCAATGTTCCCTCTAAGCCGTGGAGTCTTGTGAGCAAAAATTCTACTTTGTGAGCTACGGGCATTAAAGCCGTGAGCGAGCGATTCGGCTACGGCATCAATTAGTTTGCTCTGGAGCCCTCCTCCCTGAGCTTAGACAAAAACGTGTGAGCTGGAGGCTAGAAAACTGTGAGCTGGCTCACACTAACTCAGCTTAGAGGGAACACTGCTCCCAGGGTGTCTGTTGTGGGGAGGGGAAGGGAAAGGAGTTTTGTAAGCCGCTCTGAGACACCTTTGGGTAGTGAAGGGCGGGGCATAAATCCAATCTCCTCATCTTCTTTTCCATCCCCGGACCGAAACGGTCAGCAGCTCCGCTGTCACAGGCTCCTCCTCACTGAACTCGGGAGCGGCCTCCTCCTCTTCCAACCCTTCTCCATCTCACCACCCTCTGCTTTTTCTCCCCCCCGCCCCAGGAAGCGTCCGCCATCTCCCCAGTCCAAGAGCTCCAGCAAAGTCACAAGCATCCCGGGCAAAGGGGCTGATCCCGCCCCGCCAGCTGCCACTACTGCGAAATCGGGCAAGTCCAGCACCTTATCCCGGCGGGAGGAGCTCTTGAAGCAGCTGAAGGCCGTGGAAGACGCCATTGCCCGTAAGCGGGCCAAGATCCCCGGGAAGGCGTAGGCCGCCTCGGCCAGCCCCGGATTAGAGACTGCTGTCTGTGTTTTTATAAATAGCGTACAAGCAGCCACTTCGGATTCTGCAGTTCTGGGTTGGGTTTTTTTTTCTTTCTTTTGGCTGTGCTCCTTTTTAAAAATTGAAAGGGGGGGGGCGGAGAAAAGAAGAGAAGTTTTATCAGCTACACACCACACCACCACCATCTGGATCTGAACGGCTCCCGCCATCTCCCTCCCCCACCAGCACTGTGGCAGAGGCGGCCGACCGGCCCTCTCGGAGTTTTTCCATGGTCATCAGGCACAGCAGACTCTGAACAGCCACCCTGCCCGGTGCCCCCGCCCTGCCCCGCCCTCCTCTCTGCTAGCTACGAGCCGAGCCGTATCCCTTAGTTAGCTCTGCTGTCCGTGGGGTGTCTCCAGCAATGCACTTCTGCGATCCGTGCGAGGAGAGAGCCGAGAACCACCGTCGCCTTCCGGAAACGTCCCCCCACCCCAGCCCCAAGTTGTCTCTCTGCCTCCCCGCCCACCTCATCCCCACCAGGAACTAAATCGATTTACATAGATATCCTTGCAATGGACGTCTGGTTGGAAGATCCCCCCCTGTGTCTTTTATTTTAAGCAAAAGATTGTTTTAGTTGATTAAAAAAAAAAGGCAAAAGTCTTGTCGAGATGTGTGTCTAATAAGGAGGGCCATTTTTTTGGAGGGGTTTCACTGAAAATAAAGTATTTTGATAAACAGTTCCTTCTCTTTGGCCTGTTCTGTTCCCACCCCAAGCTCTGCCTTGTGGTATCTGATAATGTCCACTTCTTACCATATTGGCTTCAGCCCCTCCTGGGAGTTTATGAATCACAGGATTGTAAAGTTGGAAGGGTCCACAGAGGCCATCTAGCCCAACCCCCTGCTCTGTGCGGGATCAGCTTAGACCAGGTATGTCCAACAGGTAGATCGCGATCTACCAGTAGATCGTGGAGGGGTCAGAGGTAGATCACCAGCCCCACTTGGTCTCCTGCTTTGCTGGACAGGTGTTTGGTTTTTTTTGATGATTGATTGGTGGTAAAAAATGTTCGCAGTTCTTTCTGGATCTTCGTCTCTCTGTTTTGTTTTTGCTTATTTTGCTTACCAGTAAATGACAGAAGGTGCATTATAAATGTGGGGGGGGGGGTGGAACCCAACTTTAGTGGGTTAAAACCTAATTTGAAATGGTGGTAGATCACCGGCACTTTTGGCCAGAAAAAATAGATCACTTCCTGTTCGAAGTTGGACATGCCTGGCTTAGACCATCCCTGACAAGAGTTCATCCAGCTGCTGCTTGGAGACGGGCAGTCAGGGGGGGTAGCTCACCACTTCCTGAGGCAGCCAGTTCCACTGTTGAACTCCTACTGTAAAAAAAAAAAATCTTAATACCCAGAATACCTTTCTGCCGGTAATTTAAACCCATTAAAGCGAGTCCATTCTCTGTGTAAAATCTTTCTGCCTCTGCAGGTGAACTGAATATGCAAAGTAAGATGCATTTGACAGAGAGCCAGTCTGGTGTAGTGGTTAATTAAGTGCGCGGACTCTAATCTGGGAGAACCGGGTTTGATTCCCCATTCCTCCACTTGCAGCTGCTGGGTGACCTTGGGCAAGCCACAGTTCTGTCAAGAGCTGTTCTTGAAAAAGAGCTGTTTCAGAGCTCTCTCAGCCCCACCTGCCTCACAGGGTGTCTGTTGTGGGGAGGGGAAGGGAAAGGAGTTTGTAAGCCACTCTGAGACTCCTGAGGGCAAGGGGAATAAATCCAATCTCCTCTTCTTCTAGTAAAGTTAGCAGTGCCTTTCCATCCTGGGAATGCAGCCAAGGGCAAAGCTGCACCTGTTGGACTGGATGTCTGTGAATGGGACAGGGAGGGGGCAGGAAGGTAGCTAGACTCCGTAGAGCATCACCTCTTCCTCTCCATCATTTAAAAATAAAAATCAGCAGCCACTCCACTGCCTTGGGACTTGGGACCGCAGGAAGGATGTGATCTCAGAAACTGACATTGCGGGTAAAGGTGTCGGCCGGCCAGAACCTGTCCGTTCTTGCCTAATTTGGGATTTCTGGCCTTTGCTTATGCTGCCAAGGAGGGACGGAGTGGGTGATGTCACCTGGGGGGCCGGCAGGTAAGAGGGGTGTGGCTTTGGCCAGGCCCTGATTGGTTCCCGGCACATGTGACACTTCCTGAGACTGCCGCTTCTCTCCCAGCCCCGGTGTGCCTCGGCAGGGTGTGCCAAGCAGCACGTGGCGGCCTCCGTGCCAGAAGTCATGCCCTGTGCCAGCCTTGGGTGGCTCTCGTGGGGAAGACGGAGCCAGCTGAGGGAGGAGGAGGAGGAGGGCCGAGAGACTGTCCTTGTCAATGCGGCCGCTTGTTTCGTGGGAGCCAGGCCTGGCAAAAGACTGGGTGGGAGACAGACCAGATGGGACTTCTTAATTTAATCATGTCCCACCATTCTCCCCAATGGAGACGCAAAGCAGCCTCCTCTCGTCCATTTTATCTTCACAACAACACTCCTGTGAGTTAGGCTATGCTTGGGGGGGAGGGTGACCGGCCCCGGGTCACTCAGCAAGCTTGCATGCCAGAGTGGGGTTTCGACCCTGGGTCTTCCCAGGTCCTAGAATGAATTTTAGCTGGTAAAGATTCAGGATACTGAGCCCAGTCCCCTCTAGAAATGTGGCTCTGGCTCCCCTTTGGATAGTATCTACTTTCAGTCCTCTTTCGTGCTACGCTTCCCTCCTCGTTCCAAAACCCACAGCTTAATTTTTTTTATGTTTTTTCATTCTGTGTAATTGCCAAGTGTACTTTATGGCATTCCATACAGCTGCTGGCCATCGGGCTGATAGCATGGTGCTACCTAGATATAAAAAGGTAAAGGCTCCCTTGCTCGAAAGCCAGTCGAATCCGACTCTAGGGTTGCGGTGCTCATCTCCGTTTCAAAGCCGAAGAGCCAGCGCTGTCCAAAGACGTTTCCGTGGTCATGTGGCCGGCATGACTAAACACCAAGGCACACGGAACGCTGTTACCTTCCCACCAAAGTGGTACCTATTTTATCTACTTGCAATTTCTTGCTTTCGAATTGCTAGGTTGGCAGGAGCTGGAACTAGAGACGGGAGCTCACTCCGTCATGCAGCACCCGGGTCTCAAACTGCTGAACTACCGACCTTCCACAGCGTCTTAACCACTTGAGCCACCGCAGCTCCTAGATATAATTTATGATAATTATTCTTCATAAACATTCTGTTCTGCTTGAGAAGTTCCTGCGCAAGGGCTAAGTACCCCATATGGTGCCATCCTACCCTTCCGCCACAGGGCTTGGCACCAACGCTCCCTCTAAGCTGTGGAGTCTTGTGAGCAAAAGTTCTACTTGGTGAGCTGCTGGCATGAAAGTTGTGAGCGAGCGATTTGGCAACTGCATGAATCAGTTTGCTCTGGAGCCCTCCTTCCTGAGCTAAGACAAAAATGTGTGAGCTGGAGGCTAAAAAACTGAGCTAGCTCACACTAACACAGCTTAGAGGGAACACTGCTTGGCACAATGGGCACAGTTCTCCCTCCCTATTTTTAGTCACAGCGACCCTGTGAGGTAGGTTAGGCTGGACTGAGCAGTGCCACAGAAGCAGCACTGACTTAAAAACAGGCAGTCAATGCAATGAAATAAATATACAAAATACCTCTCCCACCACCCCCTCCAAAACCCACCTCACACTACAGAAGTCAAAGTTGTCCCAGAGTGCTTTCTCAATCCGGTAAGTGAAGAAACAGTAAAGGTAAAGGTCTCCCTTGCTCGAAAGCCAGTTGAATCCGACTCTAGGGTTGCGGTGCTCATCTCCGTTTCCAAGCCGAAGAGCCAGCGCTGTCCGAAGATGTTTCCGTGGTCATGTGGCCGGCATGACTAAACACCAAGGCGCACGGAACGCTGTGACCTTCCCACCGAAGTGGTACCTATTTATCTACTTGCAATTTCTTGCTTTCGAACTGCTCGGTTGGCAGGAGCTGGAACTAGAGACGGGAGCTCACTCCATTATGATGGCTTTATTAATGAGCAATTAGCACTAAGCAATCAAGCTGCATTGTCAATGGACAAAAAAGACACATGATCAGATTCTAATTTATTCTGTCACCGTTTACAACTCATCCTGAAATCTGAGCAGGTGCTATAATATTTTTTTTAAAATGAGAGAAATCACTCACCCTTCCTTACTTCAGCACTGTGTTCCCTCTAAGCTGAGTTAGTGTGAGCTAGCTCATGGCTTTTTAGCCTCCAGCTCACACATGGTTTGCCTTAGCTCAGTAAGGATGGCTCCAGAGCAAACTAATTTATGCAGCAGCCAAATGGCTCGCTCACAACTCTAATGCCGGTAGCTCACAGAGTAGAATTTTTGCTCACAAGACTCCACAGCTTAGAGGGAGGCTGCACCTTTAAAGTAGGGCCACCGATGTTTAAAAATCCTGGCAGCGCTCAAGGGCAGACATTAAAAATCCCATTTAAAATAAGCAGGCTTCAGACTCACAGTGCCAAACTGTGGCTATCAGTTATAATAACGTTTAGCATTTACATAGCTGTTTTGGTGTTACAAAGTACACCGTGCGCATTATCTTCTTGTAATGCTCACAATGGCCCTCCAAGGTAGACCATCAGTATTTCCCCCACTTGGGGGAGGGGGAGAGGACTGGGTCTAGGAGAATGGCTTTCCTGAGCATACCAAGAGAGTTTGTGGCAGGGGCAACATTTGAACTGAGGGCCCCGTGGGTGGCAGCGTTTGCTGAGCTGTTCAGCAGCACCAACTCTTTCTATTGTTTTTAAAGGTAAATTCACAAAGACACTGATTTTCTTGACTCTAATTAGGCTATTCCAGGCTTTTGCATGGCTTAGCCAGCTAACTAAATGGATATACAGTTATGTAATGGAAAACTAAAAGGGGCCTTTTCCAGCAAAGCAAAGGGAAGTTTTCCTTAAGCGCGACAGAAAGCACGGGGAAGCCCAGCCCTGCCCTCTCATTGGCTTCTTTGGGTGCTGGTGAGCTGGTGGGAGAGCGGCTAAAAGAAGGCCCAGGACTGGGGAGGAGGCGGGTTCAGATCTCAGTGCAGCATGATCTCTGCAGATGGCTGAAGCAAAACCTCTGTCCACATAAGAACACCAGCCGAGTCATCCGGCTGGATTAGACAATCTAGATTAGGGGTTTGTTTCCCACGGTGGCTGACTTTCCACACAGAGTGATTAAAATGTGGAATTTGCTACCGGAGGATGTAGCGATGGCTGCAGGAATAAACAGCTTTAAAGGGGGATTAGATAGATTCGTAGAGGATAGGTCTATCAATGGCTACTAGTCATGGTGACTAAAGGGAACCTCCATGTTCAGAGACAGTCAGCCTCTGAATCCCAGAGCCAGGAGGCAACATCAGGGGAAGGCCTCAACCTCTCTGCCCCCCCCCATCCACCAATTTAAAAAAATAAATGCATTTTAGGAAGAATTAAAAACACAAATAATCAAGAAACTCCCAGAGTACAGGGCCGGGTGCAGTTTGGTGCCCCTAAGGGCCGTCCCACTCTAGGTGACCGCCTAGTTCGCCTAGTGAGTGAGCCGGCCCTGGCCCTGTCGTTAGATCTCCAGAAGAACTGGTTGGCCACTGTGTGAGACGGGAGGCTGGACTAGGTGGACCATTAGTCTGATCCAGTAGGCTTCTTCTGATGT